CTGTGTGACCTTGGGCAAGTCATTTCACCTCTCCCAGCCTTAGAGAATAATGAGACCGAACCTCATAATGGTGGGGGGTTGTTATGAGGACTAAGAGGAGCCCTGGTGACGTAGTGGTTAAACTCGGCTGCTAAACAAAAGGTCGGCAGTTCAAACCCACCAGCTGCTCCGTGGGGGACAGACGAGGCAGTCTGTTTCCATAAAGATTACAGACTTGGAAACAGCATGGAGCAGTTCTACTCTGACCTATAGGGTCACTGTGAGTGAGAATCGACCCGATGGCAGTAGGTTTGGTGTTGGGTTTTTATGACAACTAAATGAAGTCTGGTAGCATAGTGCCTAAGGCACTTGACTGCTAACCAGAAGGCTAGCAGTTCAAACCCACCAGCCACTCCTCAGAAGGAAGACTGGGCAATCTACTTCCGTAAAGATTTACCACCTCAGAAACCAACACAAAGGGCATCACTTTGAGTTGGAATCAACTTGATGGCAGTGGGTTTTGGAAGAATATTCAAATACATAACAGAACTAACAAGGGGCAAAGTTAGGATAACTTCTTAGCCACAACCAACCACCCTGCAGGATGGAGTAATTGGACCTGTAGGCTTAGGACCATGGTCGCAGGGGACATTAAGCTCAATTGGCATACTACACAAAGACACTGTTCTACATCCTACGTTGGTGGGTAGCAACTGGGGTCTTAAAAGCTTGCAAGCAGCCATCTAAATGCAACAATAGGTCTCTCCTTGTCCAGAGCAAAGAAGAATGAAGAAAACCAAAGATGCATGGAAACAATTAGTCTAAGAGACTAGTGGCCCGTGTGAACCTCAGCCTATATGATCATGAAACCAGAAGAACTAGATGGTGCCCAGCTACCACTGTCAACCACTCAGAAGGGGATCGCTGCAGGAGATCCTGACTAGGGTGGGACAACAAAACTCAAAATCATAAAAAGCAGGTTTACTGGTCTGACAAAGCCTGATGAGAACTCCAAGACTATGTTCAGGTTTGGAAGTGAACTCACTCCTGTGGCTTCCAGCCAAACAACAGACAGGCATATAGAGTGAACATTTACATCAGGTAGCTACACTCCTTAGAGAATCAATCCTGGGAGAACAGTATTTGTCCAGGGAGATAGCTCAAGGGCAGGAATGCATAGGATGGAAGGACACAGGGAAGAGTTAACTACAGGGAGGAAGTGGGAAGAGAGATGCTATATTCTAGGGAATTGCAGTCAATGTCATGAAACAAAATGAGTATGAAATGCTATATGGAAAATGAATTTGCTGTGTAAACTTTCACCCAAAACACAGATGGGGGGGAAAAATAAGTCAGTTTTCAATGTCTTGCTGGAGCTAATATTCCATAAATCTGCCAGTGTTTTTGTGTCTGATCCAAAAAGGCAAATTGTGGGTGGAGACTTTGAGCTGGGAAGGAGCAGAGCGGCCCAACGCCCCTCCCGCATCTGTCTGATCCGGCCTGGGAGCTAGTGGGCTGAGAATTCCAGAAGAACTACCGTAGTAAAAACGAGTGTGTCTACCCCACTGGTCCGGGCGGTGCATGAACCGTTAAAGGCACAGGCTTGGGGTAGCCGAGTTGCTTCCCACGCAAGGCGACCCTGTGAGTGTCAGAGCACAATGCACTCCACAAGGTTCCCAGTGGCCGATGTTTCAGCAGCAGATCGACAGGCTTTCCTTTGGAGGCGGTGGGTGTGGGCTTGAACCCCCGACCTCTCAGTTCGCAGCCTTGCGTTAGCCCTTTGTACCAGCCAGGGCCCGCTTACCTGTGAAGCGGGGCTAATGGCTTTGCGGCACCTCGGAGGGGGGATCGAGGAGGCGCTGGACAGTGAGCACCGCCGCCCCACCCTGCCCGCGTCCCGGGGGCCGACGCCGCAGGACACACACCCGTCCCTGGAGCGCGGCTGTCTGAGCTCGGGCTCAGCCAGCCGCCCCTCCACGCCCCTGCGGGCGGATTCCCCCGCGGCCTCCCGCGCCGAGCCGCCGGGACGCGGGTGATTGCAAACAGCCGCCGGCCTCATTAGGAGACGTGTAATTAGCGGCTGGCTGAGCCCGAGCCGCGCGGGCTAATTACCGCGGGGAGCCGGCTTTGCAGCCGCCGCCGCCCGGGCGTCGGGACCCGGGTTGAGAGGCGGGACCTGCTTGGAGAGGGGGTGGCCTGGGACTGCCCCAGTGTGATTCCCCCGGGGCTGTGCACGTGGGAAGCAGGAAATCATTCACCCGCGGCCACGCCGACCGTGCACTCCCGGCGCCAGGCGTTTTGCACGAGTTACCGTTTAAATGCCAGCTACCTGCAGAGGTGGAACCGTTAGTAACTTACTATTGCACAGGTGAAGAAACTGAGGTCCCGAGACGTGAATTAACCTGCGCGACACCTCCAGCCTGCTAAGTGGAGGAGGAGGGCCTCGCGCCCACGTGAGTAGTCTCCACGTTATCACCCTACACGGACCACCGAAGCCGCCACCTGGCAGGCAGGACAGGCACTGGAGTCAGACGGCTTTGGGTGCGAATTCTGGTCCTGCTTCTTAATGGGCGACTTTGGTCCGAGTCCCAGATTCTGCATTTATAAAACGGGCTTGGTGCTGGGATCAGTAGACCAGCCCAGTGCTGGCGATGTTATTTTTAGGAACTGGGGTTGCGCAGGGAGCAGCGCTGATGCCGTAGTGCCTAAAGCATGTGACTGCTAACCACAAGGCTGGCGGTTCAAACCCACCAGCCACTCCTCGGAGGGAAGATTGGGCAATCTTACTCCTCGGAGGGAAGATTGGGCAATCTACTTCCGCAGTCATACCGCCTCGGAAGCCCTAGGAGGACTCTCTCTGAGTCGTCTCCGACTGGGTTGGTTTGGTGGGGCCGCCTCACTCCCCGCGCCGTGGGCCTCTGGCGCCCTCTGCTGGGTAGATGAGGAAGGAGAAAGCTCAGTGATTGGTACCGTTCCAGGGCCCCTGCGCTCCCGCATCCCACCCCTTGCTCAGCGTCCCTCCTTTAACTTGGCGAAGAATGGGGGGAGATGGGAATATTGAGATCTTCCCACATCTTGTGAATAATTGGTTTTTGAAACTTGCCTTCTTAGCCTTCATGGACTTGTTAGGCCAAGGCCACAATTCTACAAATAACCCTTGTTACAAGGCTGTGCATCGAAGGTATAACAAGAAAATCTGGAAATAATTTAAACGACTACCAAGGGGATATTTACCAAATTAACAGGTACATCCAAACAGTGGACTGGACAGTATTCAAAAGTAGAAGAGCAATTGACGTAAATCTAGCATACATTAAAAAGAAGCCCAACACCTTAGCCCCAGCCAAGTTGACCCACAACCTTAAGTATCACACTCCACCTCCTTTCAACTTAGTACTTGTACATATCTCCTTAAACTATATATAACCTCTAAATAAAAACAATAATAAAGTTGAAAAAAAAAAAAAAGAAGAAGAAGAAGAAGAAGCCAGACACAAAAGTTCAAGAACTGGCAAAACTCATCTATGGTGATAGAAAAAAGAGCAGTAACTTATGGAAAGGGTTTTTACTGGGAAGAGGGCTGGAACTGTTCTTAATATTTTTTCTTAAATATCTTAATGTGGGCGGTGGTTACACAAATCTATATATATATGTAAAAAGTCAATGCACTTTACCACATCAGTATACCAATACTTTATGCATATTATACATCAATAATGAGTTATTTTAAAGTTATCCCAGTGGAAAAAGAAAAGATTCCTGAACAGTGATCCTCTATTCTTAAAAAGAAAAGAAAAAAAAGGAAACGCATATATAACTCAGCATAAGGGAGCAACTCTCAAACTTTAGTCTCAGGACCCCTTTACACTCAAATTATTGAGGACCCGAAAGATCTTTTGTTTTTGTGGGCTACATCTATTGATATTTGTCATAGACTTCAAAAGCAAGACATTTTTAAAACACACACAATGCTATTGAGTCGTTCCGACTCACAGTGACACCCCTCCCCCGCATCGGGTTTCCAAGGCTGTAAATCTTTAAGGAAGCAGACTGCCTCGTCTTTCTTCCATGGAGCACTGGTGGATTCAAACGACCAACCTTTGGGTTGGCAGCCAAATGCCTTAACCACTACATCACCAGAGCTCCTTCTAAAAGCACAAGAATGTCAGGATGATGGTGTCGTCATACGTCACATAGCATCTGAAAAACTCCACTGTCAATTCTCAGAGAGTGAAAAAAGGCAAAGAACCGAGTAGTTTTATTGTGAAAGAAATTCTGACCTCTTGAAATCCCTGGGTCTGAGATCCCAGTGGTTCCTGAGCTGCACTTTGAGAAGCACTGACATAGGGGGAAAGACGGAAGACAAAACACTACATGCTAACAGTTATCCTCTCTTGGTGCTAGGATTATAGTTTATTATTATTTATTTGCTTAGGTTTTTCTCTAAAAATTTTGGAAAACAGAATGATCACAGATTGTTTTTGCAAATAAGCAGAAAACGAATCAATACACTGTCTCCATAAAGTTTTTGAAAGGCCCAAACAATAATGGCGTATTTTGCAATATGGAAAAATTAAACCGAATTCTAACCCGAAAACAGGGACCCGATTTCCCCAGCACTGTGAGTTGAGACCGGGTCTTGCCCTCAAAAGTTCCACCGTCCAACTTGGGGAGAGAATACAAAGTAAACTTCCCGAAGGCACCAAACGCAGCGGTTGCATCGCACACAGTATTGCAAACTCCGCCGTGGACCTGACCTACTCGCCAGATTATGGACTGCAGTCCCACAAACAATCGTGTCAGAGCGGATCTCAGCCTGAAGCAGGCACTCTCGCAGACGCGCAGGGAGGCGGGGCTTGAGAAACTGACACCGGGCTCTGCCTCTCACTTTTCTAGCTCCGCCCCCATCCTGCCTCCTTTTCTGAGTGGCTGCAAGGCTGAAGAGACAAACTTCCCATTGGCCGAGGGCTGGAACGCCGACATCCGGTTTGCGCAGCAGGCCGGCGCGCAGAGAGAGAGCCATGGTGAGGTTCAAGCACCGGTACGTAATCCCTGCCCGGCCCCCGGGGCTCTGGAGCCTGGCTCCGTGCTCACTTCCCTTCTGCTGCAGGTACCTGCTGTGCGAACTGGTGTCTGACGATCCCCGCTGCCGCCTGAGCCTGGAGGACCGAGTGCTAGACGGCCTTGTACGGGACACGATCGCTAGGGTGCACGGGACCTTCGGCCTGGCCGCCTGCTCCATCGGCTTCGCGGGTGCGAGGGCGCTGGGGGAGCCTGGGCGGACAGCAGGGTTTGGAGCGGACAGGGTCCGGAGAAGGGAAAGAGGAAGGGCACGAGTCCCCCGTACCGGCCAAGCGCGACGTAGCTCTGTACATTATTGGTCTATTTCGGCGTCTGGACTCTTCTAGGCAGAAAGCTAAGAGCAGGGACCCAAAGGCTGTGGGAGTTGGGACGAGCTTTGCCATCTATAAATTGAGGATAGTGATTGAACTTAACAGCACGTGAGAATTAAATGAGGGAATCCGCGCATAGGTCACAGTAAGAACTATTATTTGACTAACTTGACGTCTCATGGAAAAAAACGTGTTATCAAAATTGCCCTCCAAAAGCCTTTATAGATCCGGGTACAGTATGGACACACGCCTGTGTATACTTACTGCAGAATCAGCCGAACAGAGACGTTTAGAGCCCAGGCTGAGGTCCTTCCTCCCTACACCCACACCATTCCCTTGATTGTGTATGTCTGAAACGGAGTCCTGGAGAATGAAATGCACATCACAGGTACACTGCCTCTACACTAGGTGAGACTCTCCTGGCTACTCCGAGGCCTAAAACAGCCTGTTTTTCAGGACAGAGTTGCGTTCTGCTAAGTGATACCCCCCTCCCGATTTTACTATTTCATTTAAATTCCTTCCATTCTGAGCAGAGTGCAATGTCCTGGGTGTTTTATTTCCCTTCTGTGAGGGCTGGCCCTAAAGTGTTTTGCTGTTTCGCCACCCAACCCCAGTCAGGAATCTTTAGAAGAGTCTGGTATACAGTAGTTGTTAGGTGCCACTGAGTCAACTCTGACTCAGCAACCCCATGTGCAACAGAAGGAAATACTGCCCAGTACTGCACAGTCATTGCTAGGCTTGAGCCCATCATTGCAGCCATGTCGGTCCATCTTGTTGACGGTCTTCCTTTTCCCTGACTTTGTACCATGCCTAATAGCCTTCTCCAGGGACTAGCCCCTTCTGACAACATGACCAACAGCTAAGACCGAAGTCTGGCCATTCTCGCTTCTAATGAGCATTCTGGCTGTACTACTTTCAGGACAGATTTTTTTTTTTTCCCCCTCTGGCAGTGCGTGGTATTTTCAGTATTCTTCACCAACACCACAATTCAAGGGTATCAACTCTTACTCACTGTCCACCTTTCACTTGCTTATGAGGTAATCGAAAATACCATGGCTTGGGTTAGGCACACCTTAGTCTTCAAAGTGATGTCTTTGCTCTTTAATGCTTCCAAAGTCCTCTGCAGCACATTTGTCCAATGTTTAAGGAGCTCTGGTGGCATAAAGCCTAAGGCATTTGACTGCTAACCAGAAGGCTGGCGGTTCAAACCCACCAGCCACTCCTCAGGAAGGTTGAGCAATCTACTTCCATAGTGATACTGCCTCAGAAACCCAAGGAGGGGTCACTATGAGTCAGATCCGACTCAATGGCAGCGAGTTTGGTTTGGTTTTTGGTGTACAGTTTCTGTTTTCCTGACTGCTTGGTGTTGATTATGGATCCAAGTAAGATGAAATCCCTGACAACTTCAGTCTTTTCTCCATTAATAGGGATGCTGCTTATTGGTCCAATTGTGAGGATTTTTATGTTGAGATATAATCTATACTGAAGACTGTAGTCTTTGATTAGTAAGTGCTTCAAATCATTTTCATTTTCAGTGAGCAAGGTTGTGTCATCTGCGTCTCACAGGTTAATGAATCTTCCTCCAATCCTGCAGCGTTCTTCATATAATCCAGCTTCTTGGATTATTTGCTCAGCATACAGATTAAATAAGTAATGGTGAAAGGATACAGCCCTGGTGGACATCCTTACTGATTTTAAACCATGCAGTATTCCCTTGTTTTGTTCAAATGACAGCCTCTTGGGCTATGTACATGTTCCTCATGAGCACAGAGTAGGCTCTCAATCATCCAAAGGATTTTTAACCTGCTCCCGTGAATCCAAAATGATTTTTTCCCTGTTGCAGTGAGATACCTCAACGCCTACACTGGAATAGTGCTTCTTCGATGCCGGAAGGACTTCTACCAGCTTGTGTGGTCAGCCCTTCCCTTCATCACCTACTTGGAGAACAAGGGACACCGCTACCCTTGTTTCTTCAATACCTTGCATGTGGGAGGTAAGAGGAGCATGTGCTAGAGCTCTTACCTTTCAGCAGGTAACGGATTCGGTTTGTCCTGACTGTGGGGTTCTTCCTGCTAGCCCTCCCAGAACAAGATACTTGCTCCCAGCTCTGAGTCTGTGACAGGGATCTCTCAGGAGCTATTACCCACAAAACCCTTTTGTGTGCCAGGTACAATCAGAACCTGTCAGAAGTTCCTGATTCAGTACAACAGGAGGCAGCTGTTGATCTTGTTGCAGAACTGCACTGATGAAGGTAAGCAGTGCCAGCCCAATGCCTACTGAGCAGGATTGACCTCCAGGTAAGTGAGAAGGCACTCCCCAAAATGGCTTTCATCCCTGTTCCACCTGCCTTTCTCTCTCTAGGAGAGAGGGAAGCCATCCAGAAGTCTGTCACAAGGAGCTGTTTGTTGGAGGAGCCGGGCCGGGAAGAGCTCTCAGATAGCGGCAGTGAGGAGGCTGCTGTGGTCATGGAGTGAACCTCTACTTCCTGCCACCCGCACTAGGGGAAGGGGAAGCTTGGGCAGAATTCTGCTTCCCGAGCACCACGGGAGGCTGCACTGCCCCGACCTCAAGCTCACTTGTTGGAACGTAACATCCCGGGAGGTGGCAGCATCTTCTGTAGCCCTCCAAACTGCTTGGCTGCCAGCCAGAGGACATGCTGCCGACTCGAAACGGAGGCCTCGCCCCCAACAAACCGCAGTCACCTTTGTACTCATACCTAGGTTCTACAGGACTAAGTGCTTCTGTATGGTGTGAACCCCTCATAGTTACAGCCATCTTTGTATCTAACAGTCTGACTTTGGAGTAGGTTTAATAAATGTCTTTGGCTTCTGGAGCATTTCACATACTTAAATTACATAAAGAGCTCGTGGAGTTAATGTTTGGCCAAGCCTATTTCCCCTATCCCCAGCCTTGCTGGGAAGACCAGTCTCCTATTTAATACTCAGTGAATTTTGAACATTTGGCCTTGACCTCCAGGCCCCAGGGTGGGTCCCAAGCAAACCAAGTCAGCCGGAGAAGTATAGTGCTTTCCTTGGAGGGGAAAAACAATAAAATCTGACCTCAACTGGTATCTTTATTGCAAAGCCAAGTGGCAGCTGACAACTTTTGGCAGTTTCCTGCAGTTGTGACCCTTCCCTATTGCCTGGCACCTGCAGACAGGTGAGAATGCCATACTCAGTGTACAGGAATTAGAGAGGCAAGAGATTTGTGATCAGGTTTGGTCTGCTACCTACTAATGACACTTCTAGGGTCTGTCGTCTTCAAAATCAAATGGCTGTCACTCAAATTCCTTTATACATTTACCAGAAAAATAAGATTTTTTATTTAGTGTGCTCCTACATCTGAGGACTGAACCTCCTCATTCACCTAGCATTTCTGAATGTCTTCCTTTGAAGAATGGCAGATCAAAGATAAGCCCAGCTAGAACTTGTAGACTTGAACTAGGAGAGACATTATTTGAACTAGGAGAGACATTATTACTCCGTGACAGCAGAATTGCTCAAGCTCACCAGTACATGGTTAAGAACATACTTAAAGAAGTAGCATATCTAACTGACCTGTAATGAACTTAAAAAAACCAAAAAGCTCACATTGCTTGTGCAGGTGATTTATTGCAACTATTTACCTTACATTCTAGTACATCTAGAAATCACTTTATTAAGCAGCAAAAGAATTCACATCGCTCAGATTCAGCTCAAACAAAGGGATAAGGAGACTGCTCTAGACAAAAGGGAGGTGATGGGCAGCCCTGCCGCTCTTAAGCCTGCCTCCTCTGCCTCCAGATGCAGTGGTCTTCTGCTCCTACAACTTGGGCCACCGCCCCTTGAGACAAGTTTGATCTACAGGCTGGCAGGTCCCAAGGCATCCTTAGTGACACTTAAGAGCTTTCCTTCCTGGACTATCAAACAGGCCACATTCAAGAGGCAAAACCCTCCCTCACACAGGTAAGTACCAAAGATAACCTATTCCTTGAAGCTGGCAACCAAGATCTGCCAGCCGCCCGGCCATCTCAGAAGGAAAACTAATACAAGCTGGATGACCTCGATCCAGTTTATTCCCATCCTTCTGTTTCTTAACGAGGAGAGAGAACTGAACAGGGAGAAAAGATTTAACTCTTTTTAAAGGATAAACTGATAGGTGTGCCGAAACCATACTGCCCTGACGTAGTGTCACAGCAGAGCAGTCATGTACCCCTCTGGGCTGCTCCAAGGGATGCTTCAGGGACTCAAACTTTAAAGTTAAGAAAAACTAAGTACATGTGGGTCAAAAAGACTAATGTAGCAGCAAACTAAAAACCTTGGCAGGAAGAGATCTCTTGGTGAGTGTCAATACTTTATTTTGGTGTAAAGACAGGAAGCTGGAAAATACACTGTATTTAAAATTTTCTTGGTTCCCCCTCATGTTGTGGAAACCCCCTCCCCCCTCAGAGCTACTCTATTCAAACTCAAATACTTAAAAAAATTACAGCAGCAAACAAAAGCAAGGAAAAAAGAAAACCAGATGAAGAAGGTAGCCTGGGCCCGTAGTGTCACTTGGTGTGGACAACTGAGGTGCTGAACAGAAGCTTCTGTTTCTGTTTTTTTCTTTTCTTTCCTCCTTTCTCTTCTAAATGGAAACACAGAAGATTAGCTTAGTTTAGAATGCCATCACCTTGTCCTCTGGTCAGAGTTCATCACTGAGAGACTGGTAGCTACAAGGGCAGACTCCCTGGATTCAAATCCTAGTCCCAGCACACGTAAGACAACCTGGTGGCACAGTGGTGAAGTGCATGGCTGCTAACGGAAAGGTCGGTGGTTCAAACCCACCAGCTGCTCATGGGAGAAAAGATGTGGCAGTCTGCTTCTCTGAAGATTATGCCTTGGAAATCCTGTGGGGTGGTTCTACCTGGTCCTATGGGATTGCAAAGTCGGACTCGACGTGACAGCTTAGTAGCATGTGTTAGGTGTTGGTCTTGGGGCAAGTCACTTAACATCCCTGTTTCTCAAGTTTCCTCATCTGTAATGTGATTGTTATGGTTGTTGGGAGAGTAAAATTACCACGCTTCTAGGCACACAGATAGCAAGCACGTCATGAACACTAGCTGTTTTTCTCATCTAATGATGAATACTACAGTGTGGGGGGCTGAGAGCCAGACCCTGCCACCTATAAGCCACCGTTTACCAATCTTGGATTCCTCAAAGGAGGAGCTTCTATTCTCCACTGTGTGGGAAGGGAAAGGAAGCGTTCTCAGAATTCCACATCTAGGCCTCAAGAATCTGGGATGGCACGTAGGTGAAAAACAAGCGAAATATGACAGGATACTAGACTGTTGAGGACCTAGACTTAAAGGCTCTTGAGGAAAAGTGTCTGATTGGCCTCCTGTGCAGCATGTTTGACAACCCGGACCAAGCACCCCAGTTCTCTGCCCTTACCAGAGAGGGGGTCTGCAGTAGCTGGTGTGCCCAGTTTCATGAAGGCTGCTTCAATAGCTTGACTGAAGGAATTCTGGAAACTGGGCACAGGAACACGGTCTGAGTTATCACTCTCCCCATCACTCTCCACAATGGCAGGAGGAACTAGGCTGTTCTCATCTGAAAAAGACCAGTGTCAGTAATTCTCAAACCATTCATGTCTTTTACTGCAAGGGGCCCAACTTCCCCTTCACCAGAGGGCCATCCTCACCTTTCTTTGGTGCAGTTTTGGGCCAGACATCTACTTTTGCTTTTCCAACTCTTAGCATCTACAAAGCGAGAAAGGTGGAGAAAAAGCGTTTCAACTTCTTTTCCATACTCCGACTTTGGCACTAACTGCACAGGATGCTAAGAACCAACTATCACCTTTGAAAAGATCTTCAGGAACATCTCTCCGTAACACACTGGCTCAGTCCTGTCTTCTCTATCCTGAGCAATGGGACTGACAGGCCCACAAGGGTCAACCATGAGCTGATTCGTTCCTTAGCAAGTAAGGCAGGTAAAGGACATGACACAGAAGGAGCAGGAGGGTCTGAGAGCGATTCTAAACCGGGAATCTTGCCTGCATGTCAAGCTCTGCTTCTGCCTTTTTTGGGACTCCTAGAAACATCCACCTGTTGAAATAAGCAGTGTCTATCCTCCAACTTTAAAACAAACTACCTTGGTACTGGATTGCAGTCACTTAAGGCCACGAAAACTAACTTGACCCTGAAATGACTCCAAGGCTCTCATTACCTGTCCTTCCCCTTTCCCTGCTAACAGAGTAAAATTACAATTCCTCTCTCTGGCAACTGACAGTCTTTCTAGGGTAAATCCCTGCCCCTTAGGAATTTTTTTTTTTTTTTTTTTTAATCTCATTTGACCAAGGTCAGCTTTGTAATGGTGATGGCCATCTCCCAAATGTGCCATGACATAATAAAGCAGGGTGATTTTTTACTCCTGGAAATATATCAAGACACAAGTCCCACAAAATTCAAGCAGGTATCCCTTGTCTTTCAAGTCTGAATCCCAAAGGAATGCATGTTCAAGATGGTTTTCATCGGCAGACACGGATTTTCTTAAATAACCTTTCTTCAACACATACCGTTTGATGATCTCCCTGATCCCTGGGAGTTATGAGTCCACACAGGATGTCACCTGAATCATTTTACTAATTTTAGGTGACTGAAATATATATCACCTATATTTTATTCTTGCCAAAAAGTTTAACCTGAATCTAATCACAGGGAAATGATCAGACAAACCCAAACTGTAAGATATTCTATAAAACTGGCCTAAATGCTTCCACAACGTGCCATGGAAGGGGGAGGGTGTGTGTGTAAAAAAAAACATACAAGAGGGAGGACTGTTATGGGTCAAAGACTAAAGATAATTGATGACTGAATTCAATGAAAGGTCTTTATTGGACCCTCAGTTAAAAACAGTACAGAACACTGAACAAATGGGAGAGACAAATACGGACTGTGTTAGGTATTACTGCATCAGGAGAATTTCCTGTGAGTGATATTCATACTGTGGTTATACAGGAGAATGTCATTCTCTGGCCTGTGTCCTCTTATTTAGGAGTGAAATGGCATTTATGGTCTCCAACTTACTTTCAACAGCAACACCAAAAAAAAAAAAAAAAGGGGGGGGTGGGGGTGAAAACACATACAGCACAATGTTAACTACTGGTGCATCTAAGCAAAACATATGAGTGTTAATTAGACTAATCTTTCACCTCTTTGAGTTTGATGTTCTTCAAAACCTAGTGTAAAACAAAGCACAATAAAAACTTAGGCCTCTGGCCTAACTCCTGGGAGCCACCTGCTATTACCTTCTGAAGCCCAGCAGTTG